GTATTATGTCTGTTCAAAAAAGTCATGTGCAATGAAAAAAAAGAAGGAAAACTACAATATTTTATGTTCCCACGAAACCTTTTATAAAAAAAGGAAAAGACAAACTCTATATAATAATATCGATACCTTTCATAATTTAGTTTTTGTGCCCAATTCACATAATCTCTTCATCGAATTTAGAGAAAAAAGTAAATTAAAAATGTGTTAAAACCTAAAATTAATTAAAAAAAAAAAATTAAAAACGAAAAATGAACAAAATACTTATAAAGTAACTAACCAAATATAAGAAAAGAAATTCAATTAAGAAAGAAAATAGAGAAAGTATAAACCCTAAAAAAATTAGAGAGAAAAAAGTCAAATAAAAAAAATATTATCGACGATAGTTTGACACTTAAGCAAAATTATAATTCATCAGATCATAACATGGATCTAATATTGAATAGATGAGGACATGAATTAAAACTTAAAATTAATTAAAAACAAGTAAATTTAAAAATGGAAAACGAACAAAATAATTGTCAAAACAACCTAGTAAAAAAAAAATTTCTATAATCTCAAATAGGTAGGAAAAAATAATTAAAATAATTTAAACAACTTATACAAAATAAAATTAGGAAAAAAAATAGAGAGACTATAAACAATAAAAAATAGAGAGGAAATAGAAATTTAAATTAAGAAACAAATATGAATTATAAAACAACATAATTTTTATAAATTGAGAAACAAAAAATTAAAAAGAGTATGGAAATCTCAATGTTAAATTTTGTATGCACAAATATACCAAAGAAGAAAAAAATCAATAAACATATTTACTATAAATCTTCTACCTATACTTTTCAACGTTAAAAAAGGTAATTATATAAATGAAAATTTATACATGTTATAAAATAGTAATAATATATTTATTGTTAAGATCCAAAAGTGTAAGATTTGACGATTATAAATCTCTATGAAAAATAAACCGATGACATCAATGACATTTATCAATTATAGATTTACATATAATTTTGATAAAATATTTGAGAAATTTCAAAAAATGCCACTTTTCAAGTGCCACTTTACAAAAATGCCACACTTTTAAAATCTTTACAAAAATGCCACTTTTTCAAAATTATATTTTCTTTATATTATTTATGTTTGGATTAATTATGTTCTATTAGGGTTTAGTTTTGAGTGTTTAGGGGGTTTTAGGTGTCAAAACATTT